AATCACTGATGTAGAGCTTTGGGAGAGAACTAGGCAATCTAAAGTGGGCCAAGAGGTGACAAAAGATGCTGGCGATGGATAGGACACACATTGATAAAACCAGGAACAATATAACTAGAAAGTCTTTGCATTGGAACACACAGGGGCAGTAGAATAAAGGAAGGCCAAAAAACACATTGAGAAGGGAGCTGGACAATGAAGTTAGAAAGATGGGGAGAGCTGCATGGCTGGATGCCAGACACAGTCACTGTTTCACGTAGAGGCAAATTTTTTGCTTCTGCCAGACGGTGGCCATTGCATTTTTGATCCATTTGTAGACTGAAAGGATATAGTTTCGTCACGTCAGCTACTGAGCTGAGTGCATGGTGCGACCATGTGAGCTGTGGATTTCATGTAGAATGTTTTTCGACTGTGACCAATGTGGTGTTGTGAATGAACTGTAGATTCAGAAAATGGCGCGTGGCCTGTCGCCGCAATTATTGGTGATGCCCTCGTGTGATTAATATTGATCGCGTGTGCAACTGCTGATCTGTTGGTAACTTCTGCTACCAGCGATGATGAACTGCATTTCTAATGTCAGACTGTTTGTGTTAGCACTTCTGATAGCTACTGTATGCTTTTAATGCGTGTGTATGCAGCAGTCTGTCAATCTATCCACAAGAGACTGTGACGAACATTCTGTGTGTTTTTCATTGGCACAGTAGCGGAGCAACTATGGGGTGACCCGTTTGCTATGAAACTGAAACTAAGATTACCAAGATTGTCATGGCGTGAGTTGGTTTAGGGCTTATGCCCCATTGGGAGCTAGAAAGGCAGAAGAATATTGTTGCCAGAACAATGATTTTTTTGGTTGCATTTTCTGCACCAGTCTACAGCTACATGATGATGATGTCAAAAAAGATTATGCAGTTCTTGTTTCGAAATTTTTCTTCATTTTTGTGTGCAAAAATACATTATAAGTTTATGTTAAATAGTTGTGAAGCTAAAGCATTTTTAGTACACATTAAAATACATGGTATCTGGGAAAGTGCAAGGGTTAACAGGCATGGTAGTCAGTGGGTTAACATTGTTATTTTTTGGGGGAGTAATATATTACAACTGCATATCATCATTTTATCTTCCACAGGACACTAACCCAGTGTTTTTATTCAGCAAACTGGCAATTGAAAGCCAGGAACCTCCGTTAGTCAAGTCCTTTGGGCTTTCAAAAGGTAATCTTCAGTTTTTTTTAAAATAAACTAGTGCTTCAGTATCCTTATAACTTCTTTGGTCCCATAAAGCTTTGCATCAGATGCCCAGTGAGGAAAATAACTAGTCTGCTGTGTAGGAAAAGTCTCATCATTGCCGGTCCTAAGCGCGGATGCGAAAGGAAGAGGGTTGGGTATGGGTCCAGCTCTCCCGCTCTGTACAAGTTGTTTCGCTACAGAAACTTGTTGGAAAGAATGCCATTCCGGTAAAAAAAAACAAATCAGGTTGTTTATGGTGCACAGTGTAAATGTATGATGGCTGGGGATGAAAGCTGCTCTGTGGAAGTCATTGGCTAGACATATTTCCAAGGCGTGTGACTATTTTATTATGGACAGACCAGAACTAGTCATTATCCTCCGCCTCAGAACAGGGCACAACCGATTTCATAACCACATGTACACAAAATTCAAGATAGGTGTATCAGCCATGTGCACCTGTGGAAATGTGCCCCAGACAGCAGAGCATGTACTCCAGGACTGCACCGAATTTGACACATTAAGGCAAACGTTTTGGGCAGAAAGAACAACAGTGGAACGTAAACTCTATGGACCACTGAATGAACTAACAACAACAATGAAATTTATACAAGAGACAAAACTGCTGATATAGACAACTTATTTCAGGCGAACGAAAGAAGAAGAACTGGCTAGATATGCAGACTACTTGGCTGAAAATGAGAGAAGCTAAAAGTACTGGACTGAAATCTGGCCATGATATTGAAAGGTTTGCACAGGATAGAATGGAATGGAGAAATAGACTCCGAGCAAAATGTGACATATAATGTCACAACGGGACAATGATGAGAATGTGTAGGAAAAGAGAAGGTTGAAGAAAAAAAAGGATAAATACATAAATGAATTGGCCATTAGGCGTAATTGAGACACAAACGTAGACATCTTTTGAGATTGGCAACTGTGTAAGTTGACAAGTCATAATCACCCACATTTTCTTACATGTCACATGATGTTGATAATGACCAGTGACTAGTCACTTCTAACCTTTTTAATCTGAGAAGCTGATAAACTGACACTTCCGGTTGGGTCTAATTCCTTCCTCGTAAATGTTATTTTCCCGGCTTGTTTATATTGATCTGTTTTTTTGTGAGATGCATAATTAATACTATTGGCTGAGTTAGTGCCTGTGCAAACATTAAGGTCAGAATATAAATACATTAACCAACAGTAGTGTGAGGAGGGTGTGTCTTTGAGGTAAATGGCTTTTTTTTAAGGCCAAGCTGACCTAAGATTTTCTTTTAAGCCTCAGTGATGAAGGTCACCGGGTCATGGTGTGGATCACCCGAAACATGTGTTTGTTTTGAGCCCCTGGAAATGTACTCCATTTAGTGCTATGGTGTGTTATTGTTTAAAAATGTTGATCCATACATTTTTGAACAAATTTATTTGTGTGTAAAAATACTGTTGTTTTTTTTTTCCAGATTTTTTTCTGGAATTCTAACTGGGTTATGATCATATTCTTTTTTTTTAGTTTTCTAGGTACAATCTAAAAGTAAATTAATGGTGTGTGAAACTTACATTTTCATTCCTTATGCTATTGTTGAGAAATGATATAATTATTAATTTGTTGAACAGAAGTGCTTGGTGCTCTGAAAGACAGAATTACAGAGGCTGTTAATCTGCCTGTCTTTTTCGAAACTGTGACCAGAAGAACTAAAGTGGCTTGTGTAAGTATTGGACTTGTAATAGTACAATGAAATTGGTAACTGTGGCTGAGTATTTAGTGTAGAGACTTAACAGCACTGGTGGGTCTAGGATATAATCAAGCCCTAAAGAGATAGCATATGTTAACCTAATTGTTATGAAAATTGGAATGTGTGCAATATGCACTACCTTCGTTCCTTGCGGTGTTTGGCATGAGTGGTTTGAGGGCCTTTGCTCTACCAGAAGATGGCAGGGAAAAAAGGAGCATAATTATAGAAAAGCTAAAAAAAACTGTTTTAAAAATATTAACAACTGTTACATGTACATCGGGTGCCATTTCATTTACAAAATATGAGTCTACATAAAAATGTTTTACTTTTTAGTTGTGAACCACCATGCAGTTCGGAAGCTTTTGGGTTTGGATCCTGACGAAGCCAGACTTTACACACGCACAAAAAATGACTTGGCCTCCCAGGTCGACCCAGTCCTGAGTACCGGTTACGAGTCCTGGGAAGTAAACGCAGCCAGGATGCTAACTACATCACCCGCCAAATACCGATTGGGTCTATAAAACATTGGTCTATCTCTATATGCCTGAAGGTGTTGAAAAGGGCCCTTTTATTATTTTGAAATTTTGAAATTTTTTATTTACATGTGTGTCTTAGAATATATTTTAAGTGAAACATATTCAATACAGGAAATACGAGACAATGCAAACAGAATGTTAGCATTTTGTTCTAATGAATTCAAGGAGCAACATCTTCAGTACCAGGGCTGGGGTACAGTGGTTGCTAATTTGGAAGAAATTGCACAGTAAGTTGATATATTTAAGTTTTATTCATATTCATTAAGTTATTTTAAAACTAGAATGCCCTGGAAAGTAAAGTCAGCATGTGTATGGCAAGCTTATTGAATCTGACTACTTCTGGCAACAACAAACTGGATTTCTGGTGGCAGCTGTTGGCTGTTGCACGTCTAGAAACTGCCTTATACACTTACTGTGTGCGCATATTTCTGCATCATGCTGGGACTAAATTGTTTGTTCACCATTTTTACTGATGGGACAATGAGGGACATTTCTTTTTGATTTTTACTGGCACAGGAGCAAAGCAAGTATGGGGTGACCCTATTGCAGCGAAGTTAAAACGTTACTGCTACAACTGCTGTTGCTGTTGTTGCTGCTGCGTTCACCAGCTGCAAACTCTGGTGGAAGGTTCTGGTTGCTCGTCCACTACTGAACTGCAGTCCTGCTCCAGAAGCTGAGCCTTGCGTGTGCATCAGTTTTCCAGATCTCATTCTCTTGAATACAGACTGTTGGTTCATTGCCTCCCTGGCAGATCCACTCCGCCTTCAAAGGAAGCTCCCCAATTAGTCGACTCTTACGACATGCTTTTGGGGAGGCAGTGGGTCTATTCTTGTTTTCCCCACAATGGGGCCCAGGGACCCACATGGGGGTCTGCTGCTACTGACCAGATACATGGTTTCAGCAGCATGTGTCAGTGGCATATATAGGGGCCTTTTTTTTTTGCTGAAATTGTTTTTTAAACGTTATTTGCTCTTATATAAACATATAACCCTGCTAGTTTCTCTTTGTTTCTTCTTTTCTGTTTTTTTCATGTGTATATCTCTTTTCAGATCTGGCTTATTTATGTGAATTGGTGACATTATTCTGACATTTTTATATTGGTAATGGAAGCCATTCTTAATGTTGTCGATATATATCACCCTTTGGTCCAGCACCATGTTCCTACATTTTCACACCTTTGGCCCGTTGGGCATTAGATTTCCAGACCTAGATTCTCATAGTCCAGCCAGCACTCAAAAGGTGATGTGATCACTTTCACCAACGACTTCTCTACTTCCCAGGACATTACCAGGCACCAAGGTACACATTTTAGACTAGATTTACTTGGGAACCGAGGCTATTTAAAAAAAAAAAAAAACATTGGCACTAATTTGGATTTGATCCCTAGACCTGGTAAGTGAGCGTCTGGCCACTAAGCTGCTTTAGCTTCCTCCTATTACTGTGTTAATAGTCTGTTGTAAAGAGTGCACATTAACCTGTTTTTATGCATTTGACATTTTTTTTTCAAGAGCAATGCAAAAGACACAATTGAAATTCAAGAAAGCCTTTACAGGATTTCTTCCTCAGCGAGAAAAATACTTTAAAATGTTGGAAAAGTAAGTAAATGTATTCTTGTTGTTTGTCACTATAGTTAACAGTTCATGATGTCTGCACCTCCTTCTGTCTGCTCTGTAAATATATTGGTAGCTTTTCAGATTGTTTTATAGTAACCTGTTCAGTAGGTTTGTGAATTAGCTCACCCCCACCCTTTATCCTACTATCTTTACTGTCTTTGTTTACCACCTTTTCTTTAGGGCAGTATAGGACAGGTTGGTCTTGAAGGTAAAGATTTAAGGCAGCATGACTAGTGCAGTTGTCACGGATTGTGCAGGTTAGGTTAGGCTTTTATTTTTGCCCCAACAGAAAAACATCAGTGACCTTACCGAGGGTTTGAACTTGGATTTCCAGAACAAAAAGCCAGTGTTCTTAGCTGCTACCTGTTCCTACATCTGTCTAACTAAAAATGTAAAGACAGTTTCTTTAACTTTTAAAGTCCCAGGGGGTTTAGCATCACTGGCCCAATGGGTAGTAAAGAAAGACTAAAATCGTCACACCATGCGTTCATTGGGCTTCTAGGTAAGAACCTATGAACATATGATGCGTTCCCTGGGACTCAAAGGGTTAAAAGCCAGATCTGCAGTGGACAGCAGATTTAGTTCAGAATTTTTTTTTTGGGAGTCTGATCAATTTCAAAGTCTGATAAGTTTTGAAGTCCGATAAGTTTCGAAGTCTGATAGGTTTTATAGTCTGACAAGTTTCAGTCTCATAAGTTTCAAAGTCTGATAAGTTTCAAAATCTGATAAGTTTCAAAGTCTGATAAGTTTCACTCTCATAAATTTCAGTCTGATAAGTTTCAAAGTTTGTTAAGTTTCCAAAGATTTATGCTAGAAAGCATGGAGTGTGGGAGAAGAAGAAGGCTGTAGGATAAGTTACATAATATTGAAAGACATTATTGTTTCATAGTAATGTAATGAAAGTTATGCAGTTGGCTTGTTTTGGTGTCTGCATGAGGCTCAGAAATTACCTGGTTTGCTTCCAGCACAGGCTGAAATATTTGTAAAAATAACATTAGTTTCTTTTATCATATATGCTGATCTCTTTATCATCTATGTTGATCTCTTTATCATGTATGTTGACCTCTTTATCATATATGCTGATCTCTTTATCATGTATGCTGATCTCTTTATCATGCATGCTGATCTCTTTATCATATATGCTGATCTCTTTATCATGTATGTTGATATCTTTATCATGCATGCTGATCTCTTTATCATATATGCTGATCTCTTTATCATATATGCTGATCTCTTTATCATGTATGTTGATCTCTTTATCATGTATGCTGATCTCTTTATCATGTATGTTGATCTCTTTATCATGCATGCTGATCTCTTTATCATATATGCTGATCTCTTTATCATGTATGTTGATATCTTTATCATGCATGCTGATCTCTTTATCATATATGCTGATCTCTTTATCATATATGCTGATCTCTTTATCATGTATGTTGATCTCTTTATCATGTATGTTGATCTCTTTATCATGTATGTTGATCTCTTTATCATGTATGTTGATCTCTTTATCATGTATGTTGATCTCTTTATCATGTATGCTGATCTTTTTATCATATATGCTGATCTGTTTATCATATACTGATCTTTTTATCATGCATGCTGATCTCTTTATCATGTATGCTGATCTCTTTATCATATATGCTGATCTCCTTATCATGTATGTTGATCTCTTTATCATGTATGTTGATCTCTTTATCATGCATGCTGATCTTTTTATCATGCATGCTGATCTTTTTATCATGTATGCTGATCTCTTTATCATATATGCTGATCTCTTTATCATGTATGCTGATCTCTTTATCATGTATGCTGATCTCTTTATCATGCATGCTGATCTCTTTATCATGTATGCTGATCTCTTTATCATGTATGCTGAAGAAGGCCTTTTAATATTTTGAAAGAAACAGAGTGATGGAGAAGAAAGCATTGTAATACTTCATGAGAAACAGTATGCTAAAAAAAAACTCTTTGTAATAATTAAAAGGAACAGAATGGTGGAGAAGAAAGCATTGTAATATTTCATAAGAAACAGAATGATGGGAGAAGAAAGCATTGTAATATTTCATTAGAAATAGAATAGTGGAGAAGAAAGCATTGTAATATTTCGTAAGAAATAGAATAGTGGAGAAGAAAGCATTGTAATATTTTGTAAGAAACAGAATGGCGGAGAAGAAAGCATTGTAATATTTCATAAGAAACAGAATGGTGGAGAAGAAAGCATTGTAATATTTGGTAAGAAACAAAATGGTGGAGAAGAAATCATTCTAATATTTGGTAAGAAACAGAATGGTGGAGTAGAAAGCATTTTTATATTGCATTATACAGAGAAAAAGGGAGAAGAAAGCATTGTAATATTTCATAAGAAACAGAATGATAGAGAAGAAAGCATTGTAATATTTCATAAAACACTTTTGTATGTGTGATTTCAGCTTCCATGAAACGATCAGTTTGCTTGATCGTATTCCTCTGCTGAAGTCTCTGAAGGAGAAGGAAGCCGATGAAGCTCTAGCCAAGAGAGACCAAGAAGAGGGCATTATCAGTTTCGTAGCGTCCACCAGTGGTAGTCCTACCACGTTGTTGGAGTGGATCACCACACAGGTTGTTCATTTTATGCCTTTTTCATATTGTCTAACTTTTTCTTCAGGTGCATTACTGACTGACATATTAGACGTATTATTATTTTTAACACGGTGTATCAGTTTGTATGATGGCACCCCTCCCTGGGCTATGACAGAAAACTGGCAAGAATTTTTTCGCATTGTTTTCCTCTGTTGCGTTTGCCATAAATATTTCCATTTGTCACATGTTCTTTTTTCTCTTCTCACAATGTAAAAAACACAAATGATGACTGCATTTGCATAAGTCCTAATAGCGTAACTTGACATATTTAGTCCTTATAGCGTAACAACATATTTACTCCTAATATCGTAACTTAACATATTTAGTCCTAATAGCGTAACTTAACATATTTAGTCCTTATAGCGTAACTTAACATATTTAGTCCTGATAGCGTAACTTAACATATTTAGTCCTAAAAGCGCAACTTAACATATTTAGTCTTGATAGCGTAACTTAACATATTTAGTCCTGATATCGTAACTTAACATATACTTTTGGTTTATTTCTGCAGGGCCAAGGACAGAGTGTTGATGCCCTGCAACTCAAATGTTTCGATGATCTGCATCTGGTATGTGGTGTTTTTCTGCGTTACTAGTAGCATGTGTAGTTTATAAATTAATTTGCAGCCCAGTTTTTTAAAGTGTTTTTTTAACTAACTAATTCTATTAAAAGAGGTTATCAATGTTAGAGTCTGAGGAGTTTAATGAAAGCGCTGACATAAGAAACTAAATTAAGAATTGGAACAGAGTGGGTGACTTTAATGCTGTCGCACAGAGAAAGTCAGTTTTCAAATTGTAACGTTTTTTTTTTTTGATGACATGATATCTTTAGGCTATTCTTTGGGGTGGACGTTTTGTTGTTGTCATTGTGACATCATAATAAACTTATGATAAGGTCACTATGCTCTCTGTAGATATGTCAACAAAACCCATGTTTTCTTGGTCAAAAGGAAGGAAAGCAGTTATTTATTTATAGATTAATTAGTGCCCATTATAAAACAAAAACACCCTTGCAAAAGGTGAATATGGTTTTTATAAAAACTGATCAGGATTCCAAATGTTTTCTGCTTCTTCTTCTCTTACTTTAGTTTCTTCAAGCAGAGTTTCAGAGAATTATAACCATGAATGTCTTTTTAACTAAATTTAGAAATAAGTCATTTTTTTAAAGATTTATGTTGTGTGAAAGTGTTAACATTTTCTATAAGGAGTCAGAAAAGTAGATCATCTCAGTTGAACCTAGTCTGTGCGCAGTAAATTATTTGGTACTGAATGAGTTAAGAAAGATAAAATAAAAATGTATATCTTTTACACAGTGTGGAGATAGATTGGGAGAGCAGCCTTGGTATCTTTGCCCTTCACTTCCTGCATGTTGACACTGGCTGTGGCTAAATTAAAACATTGCTGTGCTGTATGATAGCTACGTTTGAATATTACTGAGAGAGAGAGGAGAGAGAGAGAGAGCAACAAAACAAGATAAATAAATTAAAAGGAAGTATTCCAGCTTTTTCTTATGAAAACAAAGAGTCAGCAGCATGAGACCAACCAGGTCTACTTGAGCCAATTACTGCCACTATAACTTCTGCTCTATTTGGCTTCTTGTTCGTGCAAACGTTGGCACCAACTCACTGCAGCTGAGGGTGTTTTTTCTGTTTCAGTTTGACAGTGAAATGTTCGCCCAGCTTGACAGAGAGGTTCAAGAACAGCTGTCTCTCGTCACAGATGATCCTCACCACATGAAAGAGTTGATGGGAATTGAACGTCGGCTCTCGGAGCTAGAGAAGAGATTAAATGAAGCCAAACGAATCACTCAGGAACAAAATGATATGGCTCAGGTGATTAACCTTTTTCTTTTTTCTTTCTCTCAGAATTTGATTTTAATTTCAGGTTATGATCCACATCAAGTTTTAAAAAAAAAAATCTGTAGTTCATAAGATCATAAACTGTTTTTCTGTTTGTTCTGTATAAAATTTGCTGCCCTTATCAGCAAGCACTGTTTCTTCTTACAGTATTTCCTGTTTAACATAATGTAAACATATAGGACCCCTTTTTTTAAGGCTAGCGGCACACTGGACATATGCTAGACTCATTTTTGTGCAGACCAATCGGCACTTGGTGGGTGATGTAGTCAGTATCATGCTGACCACCTAATGCCTCCAGGGAAATTACCTGGTTCCCATTTGAGACTGGACCGACCTGGAAGCCAAGGCTAAATTTGGAAAAGTCCCCTGAATATTCTGTCGGGTTGGTAATCATTACTGTCACAGCCTTCTGTCTCGTATACTGCCAGTTATTTCTGACACTGATGTTCTTCCAAATCATGATACCAAATTGTCCATCATCATCTGTTTTGGTCTCCCTCTGCCTCTGTTACCCTATAACTTTTCTGTAAGCACAACGGCCGCCTGTACAGCGTATTCCCTTATAATGATGAACTCCAAGAATATGGATTTCCGGCTCAGATGTGGGTAATCATTTCTCTTCAGACTGTTAGCTTGAATATTTTAGAGTCATTTCTGGTTTCGTAATTATAATGCAGGTATCTTTGAGGGACACTTTAAAGGGCTCTATATTGGACACATCCTGATAAGAAACGAGATGAGAATTATCAAACTGGCACTAAAATGGAAAATAGAGGGATTGAGGAAGTGAGGTTGCCCAAAAGAAACCCTAAAATGAACTTTCATGAGAGAGGCCGAATTAGATTCCGTCTATGATATCGAAAAGATTGCTCAGGATAGAATGCAATGGGGGATTAGACTGGGAACCTTATGTGACATAATGGCTCAACAGCACAATGATGATGATGTCCTTAAAGTTGACAGTCTGGTCCTTAGTATCTTCTTGTTTACATGCTTGATTTGGATCAGACATTGGTGAACATAACTTTTCAATCCTTTCTGTGATGTTTACGGATATTTAGTGTAGCTTATTTTATTATGTGTTGAAAAGTAATCTTTCTCTGCTTTCCTCTGCCACTCTTGCATTAATTTTCACACATAGTTTCACATGTCAATCTCCTTTGATATATCGTAATGATTTATTTGACTTTTTTCTTATAATTTTGTGGAGGATCCTAATCATTACCCTTTACAGCTGTGGGTCATGACATCATTACAGTGCAAGCCAAACTTTCCAGGTCGCTGAGTGAATTACATCAGAAGTTCATACTAAAGACAACATTGCCGATATAAATACTTATGTTCCAGGTTAGTTTACATCACAGGCAGTTTGGGAAAAAAGACTGTTCTTATGGTTTTCAGTGGAATGAGAATCACACCTTGGAAAAGATTAAGGCTTCACCAAATAATATTCCTAGAGACAACACCCAGTTTGGAGACAGCACATGTTATCTTTATATTATACACAGTTTGCATCTTATATGTTCACTTGTTTTTGTTGTTGCTCATCTTCCTCAGGGATTTCTCAACCAGCAGGCAAGGCTAAGCTCAACACAAAGCCCTGCCCTCATTCTTCCTGATCTGTGCAGGAGCCATCAGCAGCAGCTGCAGCAGATGTTAGACAGGCAACAGCGTATAGAAACATTGCAGAATAACTTCAAGAAATCCAAGCAGGAAATGTCCACCAACATTCACCAGAGACTTGGGTATGATGGTGTTTGCTTTCATTTGTTGAATAATTCACCAGAGATTTGAATATAATGGTGTTTGCTTTCATTTGTTGAGAGTCTGTTGAATAATTAATTCACCATAGACTTGAGTATGATGATGTTTGCTTTCATTTATTGAATATTTGTTGAAAAATTTACCAGAGACTTTGGTATGATGAATGTTTGCTTACATTTATTGAGCATTTGTTGTGCACATGAAAGAAAGAGAGAAAGAAAAAGTAATGCATAAATAATGAAAAAATACATTTTTTAATTTAGAAAAATAAATTAAATCGACTTAAGTTCCTGTAGTGTCTTTATGCGTGTGAAGAATTCCTTTCACTATATAAAACAAATGAAGCTACTCGAGCATGCAGTGCTTATTATCTGAAAAAAAGACCTTCAAAAGTGAAAAAAACTTGACTTATTATTTGCGCCAGATTTATCCTAAATGATTCAGTCTTCCTTTGCAGAGCTTCATTTTGAGTACCAAGAGCATCGCAAAAGGACCATAACTCCTTAGCTTCAAATCTGACATCCATGGATCTTCAAAAACTTACACTCATTAACTGAAAGATAGAGCTCCAAACTAAACACACAGCCTTCAAAGTTCGAGTCAAATGGCACAACCACTTTGCCATAAAGGCACCTTAACATAAATGCGATTTGATTGTCTAGAATACAGTTAACTCTTTCATTCCTAGGTCAGTGCTTTTTAAACTTGTTAAATCTTATCAAGATAATACTGAAGCTAAAAAATATTTGTTATTACTGAAGCTAATAATAAATATTTGTTTTCCGAAGGAGTTAAAATATTAACGCTATCAGAAAGAAGGACTCAGAGCAACAGTTAGGGTATGTAGGGTTGATATAACAACTGGAGGAGGGACAAAGGGTTCATAGTAGTAAAGAAAGTAATTAGGACCTAATAAATGCATGACGATTTGCATGGTTTTGAATGGGTTTAAAAAAAAAGATTAGATTTGACCTTTTTACTAACCATAAACTCTGACAGTTCAACAGACACACAGTAAATTAATCAGGTGGGTCATGCACATTGATGTTTGCATCTCCAAACTGTAGGCTGTAACAAATACGGGTTGCTTGGCCCAGAATGAGCCAAAGCTTCAAAAGGCTCACTAAAATGTGACTTTTTCATTATCATAAACTGTGACAGTTTAACAGACAAATTGTCAATTAATCAGGTGGGTAATGCACATTGAGACTCGCATCTCCAAGCTGGACAGTGATCTGATCTATCACATGAAAACCTTGAGGATGTTGGAGTGCAACTTGGAGCTTCTCAGCCAGATCAAAGCTGCTCCCCAGGTTTATGCTGACATGGTGATGGAGGCAGCAAGAAGGAGGTTGTTCTCCAGCAGGTTCACACTGGTGAGTGCTTGACCCTTCAGGTTTTTCTTCATTTACTTCTTTGGGTGTTGAGGGGGGTATAAGGTTCTGTTTCTTGTTCTTCTGGCCCCTTAGACCATTGAGAGTTTTTATGTTATCTTTCCATCCTATTCTTGGTCTGTCTTATGTCTATGTACCTCTCCTCTTTTGGTGTATACTTTGTTTGGTCTCCCAAGATTCTCTCTAAGTGGAAGAACCATTTTAATTACTCTTTTTTAGATGTCATTTAATATTGCTTCTGTGCCAGCCGTTTCTCTTTTGACTTCATTCCTAATTTGATCTTTTCTGATCGCTTATGCAGGCTATCTCAGAAATTTCATTTTCATGGTTACTAATTTACGAGAGAGAGAGAGAGAGAGAGAGGGGGGGGGGGGGGGGGGGGGGAGGGGGGGGGGGGGGGGGGAGTGGGGGGGGGGGGGGGGGGGGGGGGTGGGGGGGGGGGGGGGGTGGGGGGGGGGGGGGGGGGGGGGGGGGGGGGGGGGAGGGGGGGGGGGGGGGGGGGGGGTTAGGGGGGGGGGGGGAGAGAGAGAGAGGATTGACTTCACTGCACTAGGGTTTACTCCATGTGGCTTATTTAATCTCTCTTCCCCCCAGAACAGCTGGCCACTTTCTGAGAATGTTGAACAAAGCATGAACTCTATCTTCATCCTTCTTTTGTCAGTATCTGCAGCTAGGCATCACACTTCAACTGGTGATAGACAGCTGAGCTTAGATAACCCAGCTTGGGCGTATAGATCCATTGCCCCCTAACAATAAGAAAGTTAATTGCGTATCCTTTAAAGGACATTGCAGAACCAACCCCAGCATTCTTTGTTGTAGTTTTTCTAGGCAAACATTACATTCATTAGTTTCTCGTTGTTTTGTGTGTGTGAATGGTCAACTTTTGGTACTGGTGTCGAAACCAGTGCAAGACAGATCATCTGCAGCTGGAATTGAACCCGGCACCCCTTCTTTACGAAGGGCGTTTGCAAAAACTAAGCCACAGACGCTCAACCAGCATCTCATTAAAGGTGACTAATTAGGGGTTTGCTGAAAACGGATGTATTGTGCCAAAAAGCACAGTATGTCACAGCCTAGCTGTAAACCACAACACAGTGAACAAACACCCTTTTTAAGAGTGAGCATAGAAGAAAAGAAAAATTATCTAGGTTTTTCCATGTACCTACGGCTAAGTCATGTGTTTGTGTTTAATTGTTGATGCTGACATTTATTGCAGTGGGCGGAGGCACTGGTGGACGACTCAAAGCAAATGTACTTAACTGAAACAGAAAGGAGAAAACAGTTTACAAGGAAGCTAGGTTCATATTTTTTTCTATAAATAGTTCTTTTAAGTGCAAGACCAGCTTGATGTTGTGGTTCTTTCTTATCTGTATCTGTATCTTTTCTATCAGTGGTCTTTCCAGTCGTCACAATATTTTCCAGTGCTCTTTTTTCATCACATGACCAAAGAACTTGATCTCCTTCTTTTTGTTGTATATTATTTTCTACTTTCATTAGCCATTTCCAGGCAATCATTGTTAGTTATTCTGGCAGTCCAAGGAATCTGCAAAATTTTTCTCATGCGCCACATCTCAGTTGCCTCCAAACTCGATTGTCTGTATGCATTAATTGAAATTTAAGCATATTTTATTTAATCAGTGCTTTCAATTTGCTGTATAATTGCTTGTATTATTACCTATAGGAAAAAGATGGCAGTATTTTGGGTACATCATGAAGAGAAATGGGGAGAAAATCACTAAACAGGTATAGAAATGTGGAAAAAAGGAAATCCAAGAGAAACCATAAGACCTTTTTTTGGTTACTGCTGATAGAACTGTCTTCAACAGAGTATCAAACGGTGATCGAATAAAGAGACTAGGAAAAACACATTGTAGAAGTCGTCGATGTGGTCGACATTGACTTTATTAGCTACACATATCCAACACATGAAAACAAAAATCCTAACTAACTATTCATTTGACATTCCCCTTTCTCCCACTCATTAAACACCCAAAAGTACACCAGTGCACAAATGTGCATCTTTTAGAACAATGCTACGAAGCAGCCGTACACATATAACTAGGTCCAATAAAACCTAAGATAAATATAATAAGAATCGTCATCCCCTTGTGATATGCAATTTTTAGTTATTTTGAAGCCCCACCCTGGCTTTTGCCGGGGGCCATAAATATAGCTGGGCCCTATTCTCTTCACAGGTGATCCTCATCCACATGGTGGCACTTTGTGTCACCGGTGTTTATCGCTTGTGTGATGTCCTGGTGGGGTACAACTTACTTATCTACCTACCTACCTAAGATACATATTGCTGAGATAGGCCCATGGAGCTGAACTGGGTTCCATGCTGATATTAAAAGAAAAAAAAAATTTGTACACCTGATAGTATGGAGTGGAGAAATAGACTGCAAACCCTCTGACGTATAACAGCTTGACAAGATGAGATGCGTTCTTGCAGTTGGTTTTCTGTTATGCGTTTATATGTCATTGTTTTATCAGGTCTTAAAGTAGGGTTTCTGTACAGGGTCATCGAGAACGATTCGTGGGATTTAAACTGTTATTATAAAAGATGTATTTAATGATTTTACAAGTGTGGTGTCTTAAAATGTTCAGAAAAGCTTCTGTAGACACACATACTATCAGAAAACCCCATCTTACTGTTTGAGAATCACTTCATACTATCTGAAACACCCCCCCCCCCCCCTTTTCCCCCACCCTTTGTCCCCTGACCCTTTGTCCCCTGACCCTTTGTCCCCTGACCCAACTATTAAACTCTTAGGAACACTCAAAATACTCTTTGACACACCCACTTATTGTTTAGAAGTCTCACTTTCTGCTTGAATGCTTGTGAACATTGTAAGAAAAGAGCTTGCAGTGTGTTGCTGACTAGTGAGTGAGTTAAAAAATAAATGAAATGAAACATGTTCGTCTGATTCATTGTTGTAGTTGTATTTTAATCTGTTCAAGGTATTTTCCATTATATTCAGCTTGATGTATATGCTTTTTTCTAGGGGAGCACTTTCTTCTAGACACACTGTTTAAGGGCTTCGATGACATGCCTCCCAGTTTTGCTGTAAGTAGTCGACTCACTTTCAGAATTGTACATAAACTTTAATCAATTTTTGCAGAGCGGCAAGCATCACTTCAAAGATCCTGGTTAGTTAGCGTCCTTTCGGATATTTTCTTCAGGTTTGTTGGAAAATGAATAGGCAGACAGACTGGCTGGTTCTGCACCACTTGGTGGTAAATGAATGCATGACAAGCTAGATGTATTCATGGCCCTTTGGGAGTGAGTTGACACTGAGGAATCACAAATAGATCAAGAGACGGTCTGGATAGAATGGGGCAGCAGGGAATGAACAGGGGACCAACACTCAGAGGAAAAACAAGGCAGATGTTCAAGCGGATGGCTAGTGATACTATCAGAATTGAGTACCATCAAGGGAAAAAAGTAAACGCTAATGTTTAATGTAAACACTGATGATGATGAAACATGTAATGTATTCTTTACTGGCACCAACAGTGTCATTCATTATCATTGTTGTGTTGCACAACAATGCTGCCATTATAACCCTGTGATAAGAAACTCGTTTTCTTAAAATGGCATCTGCATTGTGTGTCCATATTTTTGCTGTCCGACCCCTTCCTTTTCTTCAAGGGACCATACCTTTTTTCTAAACCACTAAAGGTGAACTGTGGTAGCATAGTAGCTAGATGCTTGCCTGCTGGCCTGGAAATCCACATCAAGATGGGAATTTTTTTTCTTCTTCTGGGTCGACCCAGCCTATAATGAGAGCCAGGTAATGTTCTGGGAAGTAAAGGCAGCCTGCATGATTTTGACATTACCCACCAAGTGTGGATTGGTTTGTAAACCTATGAGTCTATCTTATGGCTAGTGTGACACTGACATAAAAAGGCTTCTTTCCGGACTTATTAAACCACTGTTAAAATTAATCCAGTGAACTGTAACTAAAAAACCTAACGAAAAGGGCTATGGGGAAACAAGGGGCTATGGGGAAACAAGGGGCTATGGGGAAACAAGGGGCTATGGGGAAACAAGGGGCTATGGGGAAACAATGTGAACAAAACAGAAAATTCAGCATTTTGGCCGGAGCCTTTCTCGGCATGAACTACACAAAATAAAGAGCCACAACCAGGGGTCACATGAATAACTAAAATATGGGAAGAGAAAATGTTGATTTGAATGGATAAGATTTCACCTGTTTTTGGATTTTAAACTGCTGTTCCATTTAATGGGGCAAATTTGTCAGCCATTTTCAATAATTACATTAATAATGGTTGTAGACAAATGTGTACTGTTGTTAGTTTTTTGGGATGTGATTTGTGTGTGTTTGTGCGTGCACACACGTGCCCGTATGTGTTTGTAAAAGGTATTACGTCAGGGAGGTTGACGTATCGGTGTAATGTCCTTAACACTGATAATAAATGGTTGGGTGACTGTCATCCACAGACTAGAACTCCTCCCCCTTTTGACACTCATCTTCCTGAGGTTACTGTAGACGACATTTCCTTGCTGAGAAACACCGTTCCTGAACTGGAGGAGTTCTTGAAGTGAGTTTTCATGTTTTAAAAAAAAAATGTCTGCACTGCTTGTGTTTACCACTTTTTTTTTTTAGGGCGTTGTAAGACGGGGAGGGGTTTTGATTCTGGGCTAGTGGATAATGACGGATCTCTGACACTAACACAATTGCATGACATGGGAGTAAAGCATGGTGAAGCACATCTATGCCGCCTTCCAGGCCGCAATAGGAAACATTTTAACCAACTTCTCATAGAAACAATTAGTTGAAGTACTGATAATTTAAGGCCATATAGCTAGTGCATTCACCACACACTGTGCAGATTAAGATTTTCATATGTGCCTCCACACAGAAAAAATCCATCACCTTAATGGGGATTTGAATCTGGGTCTCCTGATTGAAAGTCCATCATTCTTAACCTCTCGTGAAAGTCCATCATTCTTAACCTCTCGTGAAAGTCCATCATTCTTAACCTCTCGTGAAAGTCCATCATTCTTAACCTCTCGGGCAGCCTCTCCTCATTCATGTTTTTAAAACCATAAATTTGGTTATAAACAGGTGTTTAGGATACTTCTGGCCTAACTGGATGACAGGCTTAGTGGGCTATGGCCCACTATCAAGGTCATGCCAGTGATTGTGGAAATAAAAGGACTGTGTGGTCTTCAGAAGGACAGGAGTACTCCCTATGTCGAGACAAAAATCATTGATCATATTTGAACACATCTAAAACAAGGATCCAGTTTCATTGCTAACAAGAAGTACTATGGCAGACAACAGTTCATAACTAACTGGAAATATAAGTATGCACACTGTTTCTCATTTGTTAATATCCTGTTTCCATTCTGGCTTATAATTTAGATACACACTGGCTATTGTTTTTTTTTTTTTTGATGTCTGAATGTGGGTTCCTTGGCTTCCATTGTGGGGAAAGGGGGAAAAAAGGAATAAACCCTGTCCCTAAACAAGCATGCTGTAAAAGGTGACTGGTTAAGGGAGTTTCCTATGAAGTTGGTGTGCATAGGCTCAGTAGGTGTGGAACTAACAGTCTGTATACAATTAGGCCGGATCTGTAAAACAAATGTGCGTGCAAAACTCACGTTTTGAAGCAGGATCAAAGTCCAGAAGTGGACGAACAGTCTTGCCTTTCTGTCAGAGTTTATACCCGGTGAACATGAAGAAGCAGATTTTAGGTATTGGTTATGTATACTTCTTCTGCAGCCCTTTTCTCAGTGGAGTGTAGGCCCTTAACCAGCTCATATCAAGTCATCCTATCCTTTGTAATCACATGCAGCTGACCCTATGTCCTTCCCATCTTTTTAAAGGATGTATACTAAATCTAAGTTGGCGTCTGTGGCTTAGGCATTGCGAAGGTGCTTCGTANGAGTCGCCTCAGCTGCAGATGGTCATGCCACAGTCTTCTCAGACAGAATGGTCATACCAGGTATTTATGAATTTGGTTTTCTTCTTCTTCTTTTTCTTTTTTTTTCTTTTTCTTCTTTTTCCTCTGCCTTCTATCCTCCAAAGAGGCTAAGGCCCTCAACCAAACTCGTGCCAAGTTGTTCTATCCTTTGCTATTGCATGCAGCTCACCCCATGTCCTCCCCATCTTTTTTTTTTTTACTTCACTCCTTAGTTCCCCTCCCCATTAAAAAAAAAAAAATCTGTCCAATTGATCTTTATTATTGGTGAGTACCTTTCTGTGACTGTTTTTGATTGATCCAGTTGGCTGACTATTAATTTTCTTGTGTTACTGTTAAGGTCTCTGAGGTTTCCTTTTGCTGCTGCTGTCTCCGCTTCTTGTGCTATGTTGTTAACATGTTTCCTTTTATCCTCCTTCATTTGCCTCCTAACTTCCTTATTAGTTTATGTGTATTTTTCATGAGCTCTAGCTTTAGCAGCTCTAGTTTTGCTATTGTTTAGGTCTACTGTCTACAATCATTTCGATGGTTTAAGGTGCTATCCACGCTTTGAGTTTCAGTTCTTTCTTACCAAGGACTTCTAGATAAGACTCATTTCAAATTCCCTTGACCTGATCCCAGCAGACTTTGCTGTTTACTTCCTCAGCTAACTGCTGCAACACTTGCTACTTATTACAGACTGTAGCTCAAAATTTTTCCTTATCCTCTTTATCCATGAGATATCCTACATTATATTAGTTAACATATTTTTCTGTATGTAAGACAATATGCTTTCCCACATCTTTTAAAGTTAAAAATTAGGCTTTGCTTTTACAATTGTCATCTATACCTGCATTTGAATCACCACTAACTTTTTAAAATGTTCACAATACTGAATTCTATTATTTGCAGTCTGAATCCATGACCAAACCTTGCATCGTTGTGGCTACTGAGGCACCACCAACCAAATTCACCCTTCCAGAAGTGCAGGAATCTCTCACTACAGAGTGTTCACCAGTCACCTCAAGTCTGGCAGACGCAGCAAAAGATGTGATCACTTCACAAGTGAAACCTGTTAGAGATGATAGTTCATTGAAAGAGGGGGAGCCCACTTCTGAATCTTCCAGTTCAGCAGCTGCTTTTGAGCCCAGTCCTGCTGTACAGTCTGTGAAGACACAGACAAAGACAAATTCAACCCACACAGACTCAACGTCACCCATCTCCTCGAACGAATTTGCTACTGCAGATTTTTACTTTGAAGACTCCATGCCTTCTCCAATGGCAGATTCTCCTATAGATAAAACTGAGGAGGAAGAGAAGGAGAAAAAAATGGAAGATGTGAAGCCTGATAGTGACACTGTTGCTTCCCTCCAGGTGGAACTGGCTGAGAAAGTGGCCCTGATTCTGATGCTTGAGCAGAAGTTGAAGGAGAAGGATGTCCAACTGTCAGACAGTGACAAACTGTCCAGTCAAAAAGGCTCTAGCACCGATGAGTCCTCAACACTGGTAGCCACAACGGACATTCTCGACATGACAGCAGCGTCGTCAGACTCTGGGGAAGTTGTCAGCGGAGATTTCTACAGTACAGTGTTCGATACAAAAACAGAGACAGCAGCCAAGAGTTCCACAGATGAACCTGATGAAGAAAACAAGCTCGTTATTGTCAGAGAGGGTGTTGTCTCAGGTTCTGAGAAGGATGCACTAGAGAGCCCTACTTCATGCATACGTTGCAGTGCTGAGAGTGTTAGAATTCAAAATTTGGAGGTTGAGCTTGCTGCAGCAAACAGTGATTTATGTAAGTTAAAGGAGTCCTTATCTGAAGCTGAAACTAAATTCTTGCAGCTCCAGGAAGATAATGAGAAAGTTGTCTGTGGTAAAGATTGTGTTATTGCAAGTCTTCAGAGCCAGGTCTTGAGTGTGAATGAAGAGTTGCTAGAAGTGAAGCATGATGCAGAAAGTAAAGCTGAGGTTATCAAGAGACTTGAAAACTCATTGGAAGAAGTCAAGGCTGCAAATGACAAAATGGGACAGGATTTGAAAAGTGGAAATGAACGTTTAGAAACAATGAAAAGCAGGTTTTTAGAGTTGATAGAGAAAGTGAAAACTCATCTTCCATCTTTGAAGGAGAGCCTAGCAGAATTAAGGAAATATGTAGCAGATAGTAGATCAAATGTAGGTGCAGTTGTTTCTTCGGCAGTCAGCTCTGTGGAGTCACAGGTTTCACTTTTCAGTAACTCTGTTTTGTCAAATGCTCAGGGAGAATTTGAAAAAGAGCGGGAACAGTTCAGGTCTGAAATTCAGCAGTTGAAACTAGAGCTTCACAAATCACATTCTGAGGCTTCAGAGAAAGTTGTTCACTTGACTAGTATGAATGAAGAGCTGCTATCTCAGGCTGAGAAGCAGGAGAAGGACTTTGCAATGAAGTGTGAGGAACAGCGAAGGGATTTTGATGCAGCATTGAAAGACCTGGAAACAAAACATACCTTAGAGATGGAAATAGAGCTTGACAAGGTCAGAGGTGAGGTCAAGGACAGCTTGGAGGAAGTAGAAAGACTTAACAGACTTAAGGACGATTTGCATAAAGAATTGTATGAAATAAAACAGTTTTCAGAGAAGCAGAAAGAAGACCTAGAGAAGGCCCATAAGGAGGATGTTGCTGAACTCAAGTCTGCTCTTATCAAAGACAAGGAAGACACAGTAACTTCATTGAACCTGAAATTTGAGTCTGAGTTAGACGAGAAGGAGCAGGAACGAAAGAGCCAGTTGGAAGAAATGGAGGTAATGATATTCTCTTATGTGGTTCTTGCATATTTTCACATGTTTGGTTTCTGTGTTTTTTATATTTCATCTTGATGATCTCTGGTAAAGTAAAGGATCCTTTCCCCCACCATTATGCATGTTAGGCATGTAGTTCTAGACCTATATTTAAAGACTAGTCAGCACTCTGTGGGTGATGTGGTCAGCATCAGACCGACCACCTTTACTTCCGAAGACTTTACCTGGTACCCATTTTAGGCTGGCTCGACCTGGGAGCCAAGGTCATTTTTGAAACAAATATGGCTCGATGCACATTTTTAACTCCAACCTTTGGGCCTGAGGTGAGTGTTTAGATGCTACATCATGGGGGCTCTCGATAAGATTAAGTGCCAGCTTAATAAATGTTAGCTGAATATTTGTGTTTATTGTCACAGCAGTAATTTCTTATGCATCATATCAGGCCCCTGGGCCAGTTTTTGCCTAGTTTGTGTTTGTTTGGATTGATATATTTTTAATTCTGAGGTATTGTCTTCTTTAAAGGCAAGAATAGAATCTGTTAGGACGAGTCTGGTGGCAGAGAAAGAGTTTGCTGTGGCAGCTTTAAATGAACAGATCATCAGACAGCAGGAGGCTGCAGTTGCAGAACTCAAGCAAGAAATGAAGCATCATGAAGAAAATCTGGCTGAGGTCCTTGAGGACAAGCAGTTAGAGTCAGTATTTGTTGTTTTCTGTCAGTTTTATACTTACATCCTAATAGATGTAAATCTGTAGTTGTTTGACTCTCTCTCTCTCTCTCCCTCTATCTCTCTCTCTCTCTCTCTCTCTCTTTCTCTTTCTCTCTCTAGATCTACCTTTCTTTTTTCATGTCATTCTTTCTTCTAATTTTGTTTCTCAGTTGTACTTCTTTTTTTCCTAGTCTGTGAGGAGATACAAGCACACACAAAATACATAAAAAAAAAAAGATCTTATCTATTCTGTGCTGGCATTTCCATTTAGAAGGGAGGAGTTTGTCTTTATACAGACATTTGATTTTTTAAATCACCTTTGATCCCTGGCATCATAAGAGCTAATAGACTAAAAAAATTGGGGCATATTGAAAGAATGTCAGATGACAGAAAGGTAAAAACTGTATACACCAGGGAGCTGAATAGTGGTAGACCGCAATGCAGACCACAAAGACGATGAAGGCAGACCTGCAAACACTTGGTGTCACCAACTGGAAAGAGAAGGCCAACCAGAGAGATGAATGGAGGCGAGTGATATCTGCAGCAATGAACCTCAAGAGCTCAGAATGCTGAAGAAGAGGAAGATAATAACCTTTGATTGAGCTGCTACAAGTCCAGCAGTGTGATGCCCTTCTAGTCCGTGATGTGATTTTTATTATTTCCACAAAACATTCTTTAATTGTCTGAAATATGCTTAACTTCTTCAATTAATTGCTTCAGCCATGCTCACAAACTAACACAGCTGAAGATGAACTTCGACATGGAACGGGAATCTTTGGTAGCAGAGATCAACAAACTCACCAACTGGGAGAAGAGTCACACCGAGTCACAGACAGAGCACCATCTTCTCGCTGACTTGCTGACTAACTCAGATACCCAGACAGAGATTGTGCACGTCACGGAGGTTATGGCCCATTCAGAAACTCAGACCGGCATGGAGTTGCTAGCCGATGTGATCTCTCTCACCAGCAGTGCAAGCTATGGCAGTGAGGAGGTGAATATTTGTTATTCTTTATTATTCTAACGTGGTTTTTATTTTTTCCTTTTTCTCTTTTGAAGTTTTTCAAATCTGCACGGCTCTTTGGATACGCTCAGTTCAGTTTATCCTCACTTCACTCAGAACAGATCCATTCTTCTGGCTATTTGCATATATGAGGGGATTTAAACACTAGACTACTGCGTCCTAAAGTCAGGCGCAATTTTGTTTTTGTTTTTAAAGCCCCACCCTGGCTGTTGCCGGAGGCTGTAATATAACCCAGCCTATTGGTTAAATAGGTTTTCTGTCACCCTCCCCGGGTGATCCTCATCCGAATGGTGACACTTTGTGTCACCGGGTGTTTATCGCTTAGTGTGATATTCTTGTGTGTTGAATGGCAGTCAGTTAATATAAGGGAATTTGAAATGAAAACCTCAAACATGTGATGAATTTCTGTAGGTTGCACACCTTCACTGATAAAAATGCCAGATAACAGAAAGCTGCTCCTCTGTGGTGCATGCCAAAAGTGGGGTGGCCATCTTTAAACTGTGATTGTGACATAACCATGTTCATTTGCACTGTGAGGTCATGTGCTTAACACTGTTGACATCCTTTAAAACAATATTGATAAGTTACAAAACAATGGCATGGTTATTGTAATTTCCGTCACACTTTTAAGTTTTTCATTTGAGGCCGCCTCGTACACAAAATAACAAAAAAAGATTGATTTTTCACATTTAGAGCTATTATTGAGTGCGAATGTCATTTAATTTTGTATAAAGGTAAGTAATCACTAAAAACAAACGTAGCAAAGAAATAATTGCTTTCCTTCCCTTTCACCAAGAAAACGGAGGTTTTGTTGACACAGTTACAGAGGGCAAAGTGACGTCATTGTAAGTTTATCATGAGGTCACAGTAACCCTCCTTCCCCTTTCCCCTAAAAAAATAAATTTCGTCCCAATTAATATATGAGCAATGGTTTTTTTTTTTTAGGGGTGTAAATATAATCAGTCATACCCACCATGTTTAGACAGTGCAGTTAAAACCAGGACTAAAGCTAATATAACTTTATGATTGAATATGGTTTCTGGGATTTGTACCTGGGTTATTCTGATCAGAAAAGTGACTCTTTGGGTCATCAGGTGTTAATCGCTCAGTCCTGTAGCTGTTCAGCTTTACTCAGGCACTCACAGAAACTGTTATAAAGGCGTATTGGCTACCACACAAAGACATCATGCCATTAAGCCTTATAAAAGTAGGAAAACCAACTTTTGTGTGGCGGCAGGGTTTTGAAAAAGACAAATTGAAAACTATAAAATGCAGACAGTCTACATTTTTTTGGACCTGTCAAAATAAGAAATAAACTTGAAAAGTTAATGAAAACTTGATTTGATGAGAAAAGAGCTAGGGTATAACACAAAGATAACTTTTTTTACTGACAGTTTAAGAGCTTCGGTAACTTAGTGGCTAGACTGACCTTCTGGCATGCACGTCTAATGTTCATATCTGCACCGATGCAAAGTAATTTGGAATCGACCTTGCCTTCCAGGTCAGTACAGCCTTAAATGGGTACCAGGTAATGTCCTAGGAAGTAAAGGATGTTGACCACATCACCCAGCAAGTGCTGATGGGTCTGTAGAAATGTAGGTCGAGCTCTGTATACCTGGGAAAGGAGTCCTTGAACTTATTGTCTCCCCCAAAATAAGACTGGATCTTAAATGCACTATGGCTTTATGGGGGTGGGGGAGAGATTTTTTTTCTCCTTCAGATACAAAAATCTTCTTTTATTTCTGTAAACATTTTTACATTTCTTCAAATACATTTCTGTCGTCTTCTTATGGAATATTGTTATGAGACCTACAGAATTAAGGCACACACATATGTGACAAGATATTGCTGGCGCCGAAATTCTACTTCTTTATTTCACATGAGTGATGTACTTTGAATTATGAACCACATCCGTTCATTGTCAAGTGTGTACCAGCGGCGTCTCTACTGGTCAGTCGGCAACAAATAACAAATCTCTCATTCTAGCTGACAAACTTAACTAGGTAGATAGGTAGTTGTACTCCACCAGGACATCACACAAGCGATAAACACCCGGTGACACAAAGTGCCACCATGCGGATGAGGACCACCCTTGGAAAGGTCCCAGAAACCCTTTCAGCCTTTAGGCCATATCCATGTCTATGCCATATTTAAGGCCCAACTATATTCAGGGCCCCCGGCAAAAGCCAGGGTGGGGCTTCAAAATAAAATAAAAATTGTTTGGTATTTTTTTTTTCAACTAGGTCCTTTAAAAAAAAAAATATTTAAAGCATCCTGAAATATCGAGTTGAGATTTATTTCTAGTATAGGTCTCATTTTGGAAGAAAGATAGTACTTACTATTACTGCTTCTAATACTGTATTGTCCTGGTCACATTTAAATATCTGCATCTTGATGTGGATTCAGACACATGACTGCTGAACTGGCAGTGAGCATGCTAACTACTATGCTGCTTGACCTCCCTTCTTTATTTGTGATTTAGAGATAAAATTATTTGTGTCCCTTGAATTATCATACTTTTTTCCTGGTTGCAGATGATAGCCCAAAATTATTTGTGTCCCTTGAATTATCATACTTTTTTTTCTGGTTGCAGATGATAGCCCACAAGCAGCTGCCCACACTGACTGATGACAGAGACAGCAAGGAATCCGAGACTGTCAGCAAACTGCATCAGACTATTGACGACCTCAGTGTACAGCTTGCAAGAGCTCAAGGTCGGTCGGTCTTTGATAATTTTTTATTATAATAATCTTGGTTGTCATGCTGCTAACTTCCTTTTCATGCCTACTGTCTTCATTGTCATCTATGACTGACTTGATGGGTCATCTATGACTGACTTGATGGTCATGTATGACTGACTTGATGGGTCATGTATGGCTGACTTCGTGGTCATGTATGACTGACTTGATGGTCATGTATGGCTGACTTGATGGTCATGTATGACTGACTTGATGGTCATGTATGGCTGACTTGATGGTCATGTATGGCTGACTTGATGGGTCATGTATGGCTGACTTAATGGTCATGTATGGCTGACTTGATGGTCATGTATGGCTGACTTGATGGTCATGTATGGCTGACTTGATGGTCATGTATGGCTGACTGACTTGATGGTCATGTATGACTGACTGACTTGATGGTCATGTATGACTGACTTGATGGTCATGTATGGCTGACTTGATGGTCATGTATGGCTGACTTGATGGTCATGTATGGCTGACTTGATGGGTCATGTATGGCTGACTTAATGGTCATGTATGGCTGACTTAATGGTCATGTATGGCTGACTTGATGGTCATGTATGGCTGACTTGATGGTCATGTATGGCTGACTTGATGGTCATGTATGGCTGACTTGATGGTCATGTATGGCTGACTTAATGGTCATGTATGGCTGACTTGATGGTCATGTTTGATGGTCATGTATGGCTGACTGACTTGATGGTCATGTATGACTGACTGACTTGATGGTCATGTATGGCTGACTTGATGGTCATGTATGACTGACTTGATGGTCATGTATGGCTGACTTGATAGTCATGTATGGCTGACTTGATGGTCATGTATGGCTGACTTGATGGTCATGTATGGCTGACTTGATGGTCATGTATGGCTGACTTGATGGGTCATGTATGGCTGACTTAATGGTCATGTATGGCTGACTTGATGGTCATGTATGGCTGACTTGATGGTCATGTATGGCTGACTTGATGGTCATGTATGGCTGACTTGATGGTCATGTATGGCTGACTTGATGGTCATGTATGGCTGACTTGATGGTCATGTATGGCTGACTGACTTGATGGTCATGTATGACTGAATGACTTGATGGTCATGTATGACTGAATGACTTGATGGTCATGTATGACTAACTGACTTGATGGTCATGTATGGCTGACTGACTTGATGGTCATGTATGACTGACTGACTTGATGGTCATGTATGACTGACTGACTTGATGGTCATGTATGGCTGACTTGATGGTCATGTATGGCTGACTTGATGGTCATGTATGACTGACTGACTTGATGGTCATGTATGACTGACTGACTTGATGGTCATGTATGGCTGACTTGATGGTCATGTATGACTGACTGACTTGATGGTCATGTGTGACTGACTTGATGGTCATGTGTGACTAACTTGATGGTCATGTATGACTGACTTGATGGTCATGTATGGTTGACTTGATAGTCCTGTATGGTTGACTAGATGGTTATTTCTGACTGACTTGATTGCAATGTCTGCTGACTTGATTGTCATGTCTACTGACTTGACTGCCATATCCATTGACTTGACTGCCATATCCATTGACTTGACTGCCATATCCATTGACTTTGCTTGTCATATCTGACTGACTTGATTGTAATGTCCTACTGACTTGATTGTCATGTCTACTGACTTGACTGCCATATCCATTGACTTTGCTTGTCATATCTGACTGACTTGATTGTCATGTCTACTGACTTGACTGCCATATCCATTGACTTGATTGTCATATCTGACTAACTTGATTGTAATGTCCTACTGACTTGATTGTCATGTCTACTGACTTGACTGCCATATCCATTGACTTGCTTGTCATATCTGACTGACTTTACTGGCATAACCACTGACTTTCTTCTTTTCAGAAAAAATTGCAGTCATGGAAGGGGAACTGACAGCTTTACAAACATCACAGCAGGCTGTAGGTGCAACTGGGTATGTTTGTTTGTACATGAATCATTCCTTTAACTCCTGAGTGTATATTTTGCCGCTAGCGTATAGCAGGACAATCATAATTCCCAGCTGCAGGCGATTTGGCAGCAGACTGCCTTGCTTTGTTTTCAACAGTGGAATGAGAGCCGACCGCTTAGAGGCAGTGGCTAGGTACTTTAGTCAAATTTTTAAAATGCCCTCAACACCAATAAAACCAGCACAGTTAGATAGCTGTAAACAATCTCTTTCCAATGGTATCTCATTTAGCCTTGT